CGTGCAAGATTCTATTTCTCACGGAAAGGAGAAAAAGCCGATAAACTCGAAAACCAAAGTCCCAGAACCACCGCAAACTGGGACTTAATTCGTAGCGCTATAACAGCTGAGAGTTGAAAACTCACTAAGAGACTTGTCTCCAGAAAGACTCGAGCTGAAACGCCACAAGGGAAACGCATGAGCAACAAGCAACCGCGAACAAACCTCCGAACTTGCAAAACAATGCAGACAGGTGATAAAGGAAGACCTTAAACAGAGAAGAGCAGTAGTAATGGCCGAAGCTGTAGAGGGTGGGCAAGGCATGCGCAAAGCCCACAGAAACTTCGCCAGTTACAAGACCAAGACGATTGCACTCCGACGACCAGACGGACCAGTTACAGCGTCCGGAAAGGCAATGTAGAAAATCATTCACGGGTACTACTCGGACCTCTTCGATACCCACGTCCACCTTACGTCATATGAAATAAAGAAGGATGGATATGTTGCAGCACCGGTTCTCAATTCCGAAATCCGATATGCCATTTCGTCGGTGAAAAATCGAACAGAACCAGGTCCGGACAGGATAAGACCAGAACACCTGAAGAACCTTCCGACAGTCCTCGTAAACACACTGGCTCGGCTCTTCACACGTTACCTGTCTGAATGCAGGGTCCCTATTTAATGGAAGACCAAGAAGACTGTGTTATTGTTCAAGAATGGTGACCTACACGATATCGGCAACTATCGCGTAATCTGCTTACTGTCTGTCGTCTACAAACTTTTCACTCGAGTCATCCTAAACAGGATTTACAGAACACTGGACGAAGTATAGCCATGTGAGCAAGCAAAGTTTCGAAAAAGATTTGGTACAATGAACCACATCCACATGGTAAAAAGGCTCATTGAGGTATCGCGAGAGTATAAAAGACCGCTCTGTCTCACTTTCATCGATTTACAAAAGGCCTTTCATTCAGTTGAGATAGAAGCAGTCTTGGAAGCCCTTGATAGTCAAGGATCCCTACCCAGTACATAAAGATTCTACGTGAGCTGTATAAAAATTCCAGAACCAAGGTATCACCATTCTACAACGATATTAACATTAGCGTCAAAAGAGGAGTTAGGCAGGGCGATACCATTTCGCCAAAATTATTTACCGCCACCCTCCAGAACGTCATGCGAACATTGGAATGGGACAATATGGGAGTGAAAATCGAGACTCGGCAGTTACGCCATCTTCGCTTTGCTGATGCCATCGTCCTTATAACACCAAACAATAGCCAAGCGGAACGTGTGCTTGACGACTTTGATAAAGCCTGTGGAAGGATTGCTCTTCGACTAAATCTCACAAAAACGATGTTCATGAAGAACGGATTGGCTTCGCATGTCCATTCACGCTTAGCGGAACGTATATCTCTGAATGCTCCAGTTATATCTATCTAGGTCGGGAAATCAATATGATGAACGACCTAGTTCCAGGGCTGAGCAGAAGGAAACGAGCGGCTTGGGGAGCTTTCAAGATCATCGAGGATTTAGTGAAGAGAACAAAGAACACCCAACTCCGTGCCCACTTTTTCGACTCAACGGCATCTCCTGCTTTAACCTATGTGTCAGAAACCTGATCGATACGTAAGCAGGATGAAAGTTCGCTCAGCGTTTTCGAACGCGCAGTCGAAAGGACGATGCTAGGAGTATCCTGTTCCACACAAGTAAGAAATGGGATCCGAAGCTCCGATTTGCGTCAACGATAAAAAATCGAAGACACCGTTCTGTGGGCCAAACAGTCCAAGATAAGGTGGGCCGGACACGTAATGCCTATAAATGACTACCGATTGACAAGAGCTATTAGTGACTGGATTCCTCGGGATGTCAAACACACTGCAGGAAGGCCACCGACCCGACAGTCAGAGTTCTTCACGAAGAACCGAGAAGAAAGATAAGGTGCTCGACGAGTCCCTAGAGCGAGCAGAACCGCCTGCGCTACTCTTGCACGCGACAGGGAAAAATGGAAGATTTACTGACGCCCGCTCGAGTAACTCGACGATCAACGGGACTACAGGTGATACAGTAGCCTGCGTGGGTCAACCTATATACGATATCAGTGTTCCACGTTTCGAGACAAGTCTGGTCTGCTACCAATTTTCTTGCCCGGAACGGCGTCGTTTGAGTTATAGATCATTATATTCACCACTTTTCCCCACAGTATACTGGAATCTGGTTCTGGAGTCATCAAGATATTCCATTGTTAGGGATCTCATCTCTGTCAACCTGGTTTTATAGCAAGCACAGCAGTTCCAAGCGTTCCAATGGTACCTTATCCGCTCAGCCAATGTATGAGGTTTTCCCATACAATATTTGTTCACATGTGGACTCATTGAGCTTTATGAGAGCGAATACCTTGTTTTGCACGCATTCAACTGCAAATGATACAAACTATTCTATTATGTGAGGTAAACTGTAGTTTGATTTGGTCAGAAAATTCTTCTCATAGCAAAGAGTTCTTTGATGATTGAAGTGCACTCTTGATTCCTTCACTTGATAAAAAGGAAATAAAAGGATAAAGCTCTCGGCCTTGATTAATCCCTGAGGGATTCACCATGCATTCGACTTCATCAAGCATCGTTTTGATTTGACTGAATGTATATTTGCCCTTAACAGTGACTCGCGGTGGCCTATCGATGAATCGAGCCAGTGCTGCAATCCTTGCAGACAAGTCTGGTACCAATTTGCCGACCCCTAAGGGATGGAAAGCTTGATAGGCCATGGGCGCGGGGATCGACTCTACGTGTGTTGCAGAGCGCCTCCAACCACTGTACCACATGCGCCCTTAAGAAAAAAGGAAATATGAGGCACAATTATGCAGCCATGAACAGTTCACAGTGTTTTGTTGAATAATATGCCATCGTCGTCAGGAAAGTATTCACTTACCTGACGTCTTTCATGAGTAGATTTTCATGTTCAAAAATAGTGTTTCCCTTAAGAGAAGTCTATGAAGGCCTAAAAACTAAAAACAAAGCCTTTACCAGTTGTATGCAGAAGTACACCAACTAGGCTATCAATTTCGATCCAATCTCTAACATCATGCCGCAGTTTCGCTTCCGAATCATTTAAACAAACTGAGTGTAGAAACTGATCGAAATCAGTAGCCTAACACTTTGCCGAATTACCATGACTGATACTACGACGACAAACGCCGGTTGCGTGGAGGACATTTCCCTAATCTATCAGTGTTATCTGCGAAATATAACCACAATGATGCTGAGATATTTGCAAAATTCAGCACGGCAGACGTCTACGGTGGGGATCAAACCCGACATTACCTTTCCTGGGGAATTTCTCTACTCTACTTTCAATTTTCTGCCTAGTTTACTCATTCCTCCTGTCTGTTTTAATATACGAAGGTTTTCTTACCAGAATTCCACCTCAGTACGAACGCACTACTAACCTTTCCAGGGGCTAACGCGTTCACCACTACACCATGCGGGTCCTTCGTTTCCTGTTTCGTTGAATGAAAATATTTTGTCCTAGGTTCAGAGTGTAAATAAACGGTTCAAATAAATATCCGTCATTATCATTTATAGAATACGACACAAGCAACCGGTTGAATGTTTGAAAACAGACTTGTTTCGAACAACGAGTAAACATTTTTCATTTATTTAAAGTATAATTAGTAGCAATGAATGGCCCGAATTTAGAAACCTAACAATATGCAGGCTATCACAATTCCGTTTTAAAAAGTGGGAAATGTAACATCTCAAATGTAATAAGAAACTGAGATCTTGAGTATAAGAGTGATAGAACCGTTTTCTTTGGGCAACAAGCAGTACCAATTCCATGTCTAGCAACTAGACTTCTGCCTGTGAAGAATGCCATTATTTGATTTTTACCCTCAGGGCACTACCAACCATACTTACCGATGTCAAACTAGATGCAGCAGCTAGTAATTTAGGCAGATCAGTGGGACTCTTCCAGTTCTCCAGCACATAAAAAACGCTGCTAAGAGCACTATGAGAAGTTCTTTCATGTTCTGTTGTTCCTAAAATAGATTATTTCAATTATTGGCTCGCGAAGTTAGACGTGAACCAATTCCCACTCATGCCCTAGGAGAACTGCGCCTGTCATCGCCTGTCAAGCACATTCCAGACTATGGCAAACTTTAATAACTGAAGTAAATATAAGCAGCCTTAAGACCTTCCTCAACAAGATGAAAGTTTTGTCATTTCACCATGCTGAAATTCGATTTTATCGAGTCAATGAATAACACTTTACCACTTTCGTTCGTCGAAACTCGCATTTCAAACAACGAAGCGACTTAGTAAACAGGATTTAGCTCAACAATACGCAAAAAGTCTTTCATTGCCTCACTGAAGTTTGCAGCCGGGGCGCTTGCGTAATACTTGAAAAGTTCGGACTTCCACTTCAATTTTTTGAACACTTGGATTTTTAGCAGATTTAATGGAAGGGTATCATCTTAGCAAAGTCACGGAGGAATTGAGTAAACCTCTTTCTACGCGTAATCGAGTTCTCAAATCCTCAACTACTCTAGGTGTCACAGAATTAAGAGTAGTTGCTGAAAAAACCGGTTTTGGACTCAAAGTGTTAAAGATACAAAAACATTAAACAGATTTTCACATACTCAGACAAGAACACAACAGTAAAAAGATATAAGATAAAGCTCTCCGCGTGGATCAGTCCTGAGGGATGAGCCATGCATGTATTCAACTTCAGTAAGCAACGTCAAAGGTGATTGAATGCATATGTGGTCTTTAAAATGACTCACGGTGGCCTACCGATGTATCGAGAGAGCGCTGCTATCCTCCCAAACAAGTATGGTCCCAATTTGGTGGCTAGAGAAATGGAGAGCTTTCTGAACCTAAGGCATAGGATCAATTCCAAGTGTACTGCAGGGCACATCCGACCACTGCGATACACACGCTCCACAACAATACAGTATGTCAGGCATTGTCTTTTACTAGATCAGCGTACTTCATATTTTGTGATGGATGAAGATAAACAACTGCTTCTTATATGAAAATAAACAAACCAGCATAGATCTCGTGAACTCGAGAAAACATATTAGCATTGTCCTTATCTGAAATACCAATCTGCTGAAAATTGTTGTCCGCTGTCCAGTTGATAAACACTGGTCCTTTAGCCTCTGACGAGCAATCTGGCATTTTAAAATGAACGGAATCCGTAAGACAGACGACGACAAATCTCTCATCGTTTTTGAAGCAAGGGAACTAAAAAAAACATCACATATACAAAGAAAGTTGCCTGAATATTGTCGTATAAACTACAGATAGTGCTGAATATCTAAGAAGGTTACCATCACAATAATGGTAAAGATAATAAATCCTTACTGCATGGGCGAAATCCTGACCTCCTCGGCTATGAGCAACAACTAGAATACGTTGGATAGATGTACCACTCAGTAACTGCTCGTATACGGCTCGGAGATGTTGTCGAGGATATCCACGAAACTGAAGTATAGTGTTAGAATTCCTAAATGAAAGCTTTAGCGCTATGACCGACATAATAAACACCTGTGCAGTCAAAATAATAAAATTAACCACTTGGAAAGGATCTAGAAAAACAACCCGTAATGAACACAAAAGAAATTCATAGAAATCTATAGTGATCTAGAAAACATAAGTAGGGGCGCGTGTAGCGCAGTGGCGGGAGCCGCCCTGATACGCATGGGATCGGCTCCAGGCCTGAGGTTCACCAAGCCTTCGATCCCTCCGGGGTCCATAAATTGGTACCAGACTTGTCTAAGAGGACAGTAGCACTGACTCGACATATCAGTAGGCTACAGCGGGTCATTATATAGGCCAGGTATGCATTAAATTACCTCTTACGATACTACGAATGGAGTCGGATGCATAGCGCCTCAATCAGGGATTGATCAATGCCGAGAGCTCTATGGTCCCATCCTTTATTATCAGAAGCAAGATAGTAACAAAACATGTTCACATGGTACTTAGCATGTAGAAATTTAACAACGTTACTTACGTTCTCATCAGTATTTGTGTTGCATAGAATAACACCCCAATCGTTAGTGTGGGCACGTTGAATGTAAGGAATTTGCGAACCAACATTCAAACCCTCATTTAGTATGAGCCTTAAATTCGCTTCTATAAGCAGATTCTTTGTACTGTCTAGTGAGTACTAAGTATTAAAAAACGTCATGTCCACCTCCTAGACCATTGCCCAGGTCGTACTGCACCACTGCCATGAATGATGAGAACTACAGTGGACTTGTCGCGAAAATCACTGGAAGCGTAGACAAAACTCCTATAGTTGTGCAGATTTTTTTGTTCATCTTCGACTTCAACCTGTAAAATATTTCGTGCTTAACATTTCGTTAACGCATTCACAATCGCATAGGCTTCTCAACAACTACTGATAACTTTTAACTACTAGGCTAACTATAGCCATAACCATTAAAGATTCGAGAAGTTTGTAGAACAGATTGCGCCTATTGCTCTAAAACTACTTGGATACTTGGATGGCCCGCCTTCACTGGTTATGCGGGGCCAGCATAACTTCCGCTTCCTCGGAGTTTTGCTGGCTTAGCCATTATGGTCCTCTGGAGTACCGAGGTCAGCCAGGTCAAGGTTTGCCACAGGTCGTCATCACCACAAGCAGTCACCGCCTTTGTGGACCAGAGCGAGAATTGCCACCAAGCGACTAGTTTGATACTAGGACGGTGGTGCATCCTAATACTGGTTTACTCTTAGCTAGACTTCCTGTTGGAAACGCCGGACTCCTCAGTTTGAAAGACCCCGCTAGAGGGACGAATCCATCACTGTACATCGCAGCCCGAGAACCAGGAACACCTCCCAAGCACGATGAGGCGGTAAACCGTTGGGGGGATCGCTCCAAAGCCGCATCAGCTTGCTGAGATATTGAAAGACCTACGAGTAACTTATGAATTACACAATTATGAACGTGTTTAAGCGCATGTAGTTGGAACCTTTCAAAAGGAAACCACCAAACTATGTCTTGAAAAATGAAAAGAAAGAAAGAGAGCAAGACCAGAGCAAGTGAATGATCCTACGCTTGTAGTAAAATAGTTAAAAATATAGGCCGCTTTTACAAAAAACATCTGAAATAGGTATGAACCTAAAGAGTAGAAAAACTTGCCGTCACATCAAACCTCGCGAGACCACACTGATCCTCCAGAATGGAATACAACTCAGTAGTCATTATGTTACCCAATTTCTCATAGCCTTCTTGGTTCGTAAAGACGAAACGTCCGTTATCCTAAAATAAATCCTAGTAGTTAAGATCACTAGATCAGAAATTTTAAACTAACGCTTATTCTCCGGAACTCGCCATTCTTATCAAAACGATAGCCGAGATCTTTTAGCGTTAACAAATCGGCCATATCTGAAAGAACGCACTATCAGGGATATTCGGGAACCAATACGTTGTTTAAAATCCTATCCCGTCTTAAAATCAAGTGCTGCCAGTACTTTGTGCAGCACTGGTCAGTGCCACCTACACGAACACGACATCCTAGTACTATAAGATAACCAAGGCATACCGGTTACATGCTTCAATTAATGATGAATTAAGGTGAACATAGCCAGGTTTCCGCCGTTCAAGACGCAAAATTACACTTTAAATTCGAGTCCATTACACTCTATTCGTCGCCTTTTACATTTCACTCCACTGCATTTACTTGTGAAATATTTTATAGCATATATCTCCTAATGCAAGGCTAGTTGTGATTTTTAGTAGCGGAATTATCATGGAAATGTCTTCGGTTTCCATTAACTTGGTGTACTGCCTCAGCACTTGACACTGGTCTTACTCTACACATGTACTGCAAGGCAGTGTTCTTTTCAAATTTGGCATAGTGTCTCCCTTTGTTATAGAAAGAAAAGTGGTACCAAACTATGGAAACAGTTGTACGCAGCAAAAATCCGGAGAGGTTGTGGTTTCATTTCTTCTTTCGATGTTTTTCTTCAATAAGTAGACACGAGGTTGTTATAGAATTTTTTAGGATACAATAGCTGACGTTTCGGCGGCTTTACCTTTTTTGGGGCCGTTTATTTGTTGTAAGTATTTAAGTTAGTTGATGGATAGCAGCCACACAGAGTAATAGGATCACCCATGTATTGAAGTCTAGACGTTATTTTGTATTTATATACCTTTATTCAGAACTTGTTGGGCGTACTACAATATTAGAAGCGCTTGTAGCACAATGGTCAGTGGCGCCTACACATGTGTTCGATCTCGGCGCCCCAGGTTCAGCAAGCCTTCCATCACTCCAGGATCGTCAAATTGGTACCAGGCTTGTATGGAAGGGTAGCAGCACTGGCTCGATACATCGGTAGGTCACCGCGAGTTATTGAAAAGGCCAGATATGCATCCAATCACCTCCAACGATGCTTAATGAAGTCGGATGCATGGTGCATTCCTCAGGGAAAAATCAACGCCGAGAGCTTTATCCTTTTCTTTTATAGTACAATATTAATATGACAGTAATAGTAGAAGAATGGGTAATTGTGAGGAAACCAGACGGCTTTGTACCTTAATTCGTTTTGATTGCTTTCGGCTTAAAGCATTTCTTTGAAAATACTTGCGATTTCTACTTTCACCGTCTGCTGCAACATTTAATACAACAACCCTTTTTTTTCTCTTAAACACTGCAATCTTATGGCAGGCGCTGTCGGCGTATATCTGCAGTAAAAAGGATAAAAGTATATAAGGAAAGTTCACAGCGTTGATCAATCCCTGAGGAATGCCCCATGCACTCGACTTCATTAAGTATCGTTGGAGGTGGTTGAATTCAAATCTACCCTTTACAGTGATTCGCGGTGGCATGCCGATGTATCGGGCCAGTGCTACTATCCTCCCAGACAAGTGTGGTATCAATTTGGCAACCGCAGAGGGGTGAAAGGCTTGGTGAGCCTGGGGCGCGGGGATCGATCCTATGTTTATTGCAGGGCGCCTTCGACCACTATGCCACACGCGCCCTATCTGTAGCATCTGTGATATATTTTTCAATTTTTTTGGTATTGGACTGTACTATATGAACTTTGCCTTCTATATTATCCCAGTATGCCTCCAACACAAGCCAGCACTTTGTTTTCTTGGTTACTTCAAGCTTTACATTAAGTGGGGAGATATTTCCTCTCGTGTTGACGAGCTTTACGTACAATCTCAGTTTCTCCGTATCTATTGCGTCGTACCCTTTTTTTTCGCAATCCTTCTTATGCGCCTAAATTTTAGTCATTTAGCTGTTTTCAGCTTTTGCAATCCCTATATTAACTGTGATTGCTGTTTTCGGTATATATAACTCGGAATGTCTGCTGAAGGCACCTCTGAGTTGTCCCTAAATGGCAGCGTTGATAACAATGTACAAGAAAAAGGCGAGAATGAAAGTGAATCCGAAAAGGTTCTCTATCATTTCTTTTCACCCATTTGTTGACTGAAATTTCTATATTTTGGTTTGGGACGACCTTAACGAGAGCGTTAGTAGCCATAATAGTGATGCCGAAGTTATTAACGAAAATCGAGAGCAAGTTATGGTGGAAGGAGATGACGAATATGAGCTGGATAGAGAAGAGCCGTGCTCTCCTTCACTCCACGAATGGAAAGTTATTTTGATGAAAGCTGAATTTGCCGACGTGAGTGGTTGCATAGCGCTAGCTCTTCCTTTAGGTTTTGTTTTTCGTTTGTATCATTGTAGTCGAATTTGTTATCTCTTGAGAATTGTACTCTCAAGGTGATCAAAGAAATGAACAAGAGATTGAATGACCAAGGCTGTACTCTCAAGATGACCTGCAATTGTTTAGGATCTCTGTGAGCACATTTCTATGATGAAACCATACAAACGGTGTGAACGAACTGGGCGGGTTGTTCCGACAAAATCTTTACAAGACCTGATTCAGGTTTTCTCATTCCATTTTCTAACGCTCGAGTTTGTAATGTCTGTAGTGTTTCAGAACAAAGTGATTTTAGGGATTCTTCTTGTTTCTTGATTGCGGAGCAAAGATTGTTGTAAAAGTTATGAAGAACTTGACTCGAGATGTTTTCGCCTCTTGCGACCTTCTTTTTGAGATTTGTAGTGTTTTACCAGATCAGCTTCTGGTATGCTTTGGTTGCATCTTTTACAAATATTTAACAGTTTGCTCAGAGTGACCTTCTTAAAACTACAGTGTAGAGCCTCAAAATTGGGCGTTTAATCATTTCAGAAACTTCGACATGATGCTGTTTCAACGTGGTTCAATGTTTTCCACTTCCTAAAATTCGTTCCTGATCCACAAAGCTTCATTAAACCACGGATCTTCAAAGTCGCTTGTAGGTATTTCCTTCAACTCCCAAATTACTTTTTTGTCGTAGTCAATGGAAGCCAGTATTTGACTTTTTGAATCAAGACGAATATTGTAGTTTCTTAGACCATCCACTAAAACTGCACAGGAAGAAAAGAATGATCCGAATATTTCAAGAGTCATGGATTGGTTTAATGAGGTGTACGGTGAGTTTTCCATTACGCTGTCGTGTCATATATACCTTTATAATAAAACTTCCTTACTTTGTTCTCAACAAGCCATTACTTCAGGTGTCAACGAAGGTCTTGCCTGTTATGATACCTTACATTTCCGAGAATATCTTAGATAAACTGAATGAACCACATAAAACGGCCGATTTCTTTTTCAGAGTAATCCATTTTAATGTAAGCTTTGTATCCATACTTTCCCATTTTATCCATAAAAGTTGTAGGCGTTCGACAAGGGGGATAAATTTGCGATCCTATCTTTGGAGGCCATATTCAAATTGATCGTCTCGCATAACTTGTAAGTTTATTTGGTCTCGAAACTTTCCCAGTTAAGATATGGATTTCAGTGAATATCCCAATTTCTACGACCATGTCTATTCCTTGACAAGGCCTTCAGTGTTATATTTGGACCATAAAGAGAAGTTTATTAAACTTCTGGACAAATTTCTGTCATCCACGTTCGTTGCTTCTCTTCCTCGCTTATAACGTTCTCGTTTATTTTCTGATTGCATAACTTTTCAAGACACATTCCCAACTACGTTGTTGCTGGCTTTGCAAAGCGCTTATCACGTATGCTGCTTTACGCTCCGTTGGATGCTCAAGAACCCGTGCTTGGTCTTATACGTAATCTCCTCACTCGCCATCCCAATATTTCATCGCTAATTCATAGAGAGGTTCCAGGTGAACATCTGTCTTATCTTCTTTTTTCACTGATTTTATACTTTTTTTTACTAGTTCTGCATTCATTTGTGCCACCGTCTTCCACTAACAGTAGAATGGTTCTCGCGGATGGCGCTACAGTTTCCATTCGTCGAATTCACATATAGAGTTGCCATGTGGGTTCGGCTTGTTCGAATAAATTGAAGTGGAGTGTATTCTTTGTCGAAGGCCTTCAAAAAGTGGTCCGGGGACTGGATCCAACTTATTGCCATGTGCCTAACATTTAATGTAACCATATCGCTAGTGACCCTAGCATAGCAGTTATCTCTAGGATGTATGAAGTTTCCCACCAGTTTGGTTTTGGGCACCCAAAACGTATGACTGCGTCTCGACCGTTGATCGTTCTCTCTCTTTCGAATGGTACTTGGTAATCTTAAAATGCCTCTATATATTGCTGGTCCATAAAACTTTCCATATTTTCGTCCTCATTACGTAAAGTTAGGCTTTCTCCGACACACATCATGCCAGGAAGACCGGTGTGTCGAATCCATATGTACACACAGGGTGTTCTTTATCACCATAATTACACCGTTTCCATACACCTCATATGCTCTCCAAAACACCCACATTCTCTTTCCAAACTTTGCTCGGTACAGCACGGTTCAAATAGATTTCCTTTTACTGAGTACACAAGATAACTAGAGAAAAGTCGGAAGATATGTTGATGAGAACTGGGAGTAGTTTATTCAGATGTTCCGATTTGATGGAACCGGAACGGGTTGGTCTACGAAAGTTCACAAGTGAAATAGCATGTTGAACTTCTGGAAGAGAAGCTGCTGTGACGCATCCAACACGCTGATATATTACGGAGGTAGTTGGGAAATCGAAGTAGAAACCGTAGGAAATCTGCTGCCTGTTAGGCTTGTGGTTTTATTTGATTGCTTGTCTTTGCCAGGCTTTTTAGGAAACTACTCAACCTTGTAGTACGAGTTGTGAATTTGTAGAGCTAGACATCTGGGGACTGTGAAGTGGCCTGTGATGACGTACTGAGAGATATTGGCTTATACTTAGGAATTGTTCAAATCCACATAGAAGAATGCGGTATTAGTTTGGTTGTAGCTGGATACGTGAACGAAACCTGAAAAGCCGTCTTTTTTCTCAACTGTACAAGTCGGACTGAGGAATTATTCGGCTAAAAGAATATTTGGTTACACGCACTGGCGAGAATGTCAGTTCCATTAACTGCTCAAGTTTGACATATTCCGGGGACCATTGCTCTCCAGTATCATAAGTTGCATTTCTAGAGGGGGATATCCTCTTGGCAATCCGATGACATCCTGTTTTTAATGCAAGTTTCGATGCTATAGAGCTTTCATTGTAAGTATAGGTGGTCATCATTTTTCAGGTCCTAAAAATACCCAAAATTACTTGTAGCTTCACCAGATGGATATCCTTGATTTTTACTGCTTTTGAAACAACGCGTACATGGGTAGTTGGTTCCTCTTTCCTATTGTAGATAACCTTTTTTGTTGGAGACATCTTAAGCTGTCCCCATAAATGGTATCTTTTCTTCTTTTTCAGTACTACATTTTCCATGCCTATTCACACAGAAAATTCAGAGACATTACCTTCCGATCCTTACAATGACAATGAATCAAGCCTGAGCAAGTGCTGTGCGCTCAACAGCTCTCTTTGGGAGATTAAGGTATGGTTTCTGTTAACACCTTGTGATCTTGAAATTCTTAATACAGGATGCTCCTTCCAATCCTAAAGGGTCAAGTCCTAAGTAGTTGGTACACATAAAACGCTGCCGTGAAAAATTGTAGTAGACAATAAGTAAAGAAGTTAACATTGTGATTTCGAGTACAGCCTCAGTTTAACTGTGTTCATGACCGATTTGGGCTCCCCAGATCAATCCTGTGTACAGCTGACTGCTGATGACGCTGGTAGATCGAAAACTAGTTGATACATGTTTTATCATATTCATAATATTCACTTATGTCTAGAGTCTTCAAAAGCACTGGTGTTCAAATGTGGCAAAAAGAGCGAATTTCGTCGACAAAAAGCTTCAGCAGGCATGTTTTTCTTTGCTTGATGTTTTTGGCTATAATGGTTCCGTTTCAAATATGATTTTTAGATGGAGTCTTTTGTTCGCTTCCGTTCTCAAGACGAGCTGTTTTCCGGTATGATGGCAAAGCCTTTTGGCAATAGAGTAGATAGCATGGAAGAAAAGTATAATCAAGCTCAGGTTAGTTTTTGATGAAACTTTGCAATAGGCGTTCCTTTATTTTGATTTTCATTTACAATTCTTACGTTTAGGATGGGTCAGAGGATGAGGACGTTGCACCCAGTAAGAGGTTACGAAAAGTAGGAAGATTCAGGGCAAGCGATGAGGTCATTTCAACATTTTTTTCTAATCCTTGTAATATAGTGCAAAGTAACTTTTAGAAATAAGACCATTAAGACATCATCCAGTTCTTTTGAACCACCTGATAAACCACATAATTCGGCATACGTACTATTGGAGATTAGCGAGCGTGTAAGTCACTTAGTGACCACTGGAGATTAGCAAATAGGAAGTGTTTAGCTCCGAATACATACTTTTACTTAGGTACTTGAATGACCCGTCTTCAATTTTCACTTTTTAGACTTTAGCTGGTTTAACTATTGTGTTTGCCTGGAGTTCCGAGATCAGCCTAGCCAAAGCCTGCTCCAGGTCGTCACCACCACGGGCCGATGCCGCCTTTATGGATCAAAGGGAGATTTGCCACTATGTAACTAGTTTGATACCAGGGCGGTGGTGGTTTCCTGGTATTGGTTTACTTTTATCTGTGCCTCCTGAGCCGGAGTTCTCAGCTTAGGAGGTCCTGGTGGAAGTGAATGCTCCGCTGTACATCGCAGTACGACACATAGGAACGCCTCCCAGCCACGATGAGGCGGTAAACCATTGGGAGGTATTCATATATATGTACATATATATGTATATATATATATATACATGTGTATGTACATACGTACACGACTAATTCCAAAATCTGTTCCATTCTCATTTCTTTTTGTCCAATTTATCTGTAGTTGTCGAGAATCGTAGCGAATGTGTTGGTGGAATCGATTGAAACCAGGGGTTTTGTCCTTTTGTTTTCAATGAATGTTTACTTATTTATTTGTACCTTGGGATATCGCGTTTAAATCTATTGATTTTTTTTTACAGAAGCGCAAGGACCATGGCATTCCCACTAATTTCTTGGCACCACCAGGAAATTTGTTTCCAGAAAACTCGTTCTATTTAACGTATGAAAAATTTTGGGCTGTGTAACAGTGTTGAGATTCCTAGGACATCTGCCAATTTTTGTTTTGGACCATTTTTACGCTTCAGCTTGCGTTGTTTTTGTTGTTTCTTTTTGAAGTTCTTGTTGTTTTCTGAGAGAATAAAAGAATTTAGTTAACTGTGAAATGCCAGTACCAATATGTGTAAGCATTTTCATATCAAAACTCAAAACCGCTGCAGAAATGTTAATTCTGAATTCCGAGAATTGTGCATTTTCCAGAAGTTATAGACTAGAGCAGGACCTCAGCCATGAACATCAATAGTCCGCATCCGTCGGTGTTGGGAAGCATCGGAGGAGGTACGCCGGCACATGGACCAGCGTCAGTTTTGGGTACGTACGTAGTTGAATTGTAAACTGTTTCAAAATTGGATTAGTTACTTACGAATGTTACAGTTTTTGAGAAGTGCAGTTTTTTAGAACTTTTGGGGTGATCTGAAAGATTGTTTTTTTAGTTTTTCTTCTTTTCTTTCTGTCATCAACTTTCACTGTTCATTAGCAAGTTCATGACTTTATGTTTTTGTACATCAATATCAGGTGGACATGGAGGTCCTGGATCGGTGCTTGGCCAACAAGGGGGTCCCGGTTCAGTACTGGGACCTGGATCTATCATGGGACCATCTAGCATCGTTGGCCCAAATAGTTTACTTGGACCGTCTTCTGTTATTCCTGGGTCTCATCAAGGACACAGTACGTTTTTACTATGAGTCCGTTATCCTTTTTTTGTGAGGATACTATTTAAACATAATGTAACGGGGTTAGTACTTATTTGTGTCTTCCTCTCACCAGTTATTTCGGAGGAAAAGGTGTGCATATTTTCATTTTGCAGGAAAACAACCTTAACGCTTTTGCCTATTAATGTACCTAGATCAGTTTGGTAAATTGTTTAACTTGCGGTTTACAATTATTTGAATTCATTGGCTGCGAATTTTCCGTTTAGGTGTGTTGCATGGTAGTCATGGGCCAGGTTCTATGGTAAGTTTCGCGTCAGTAGATCGTGGCAGCAATATGAACCTGAACATTAATCCGTCTTCAGTAGTCAACGTCGGCGGTAACCCTGGATCTGTGTTTCAGGTTCTTTCCTTTACTTGCTATGGTACACATCATTTCCATCTTTTTTTACGTCTTGGAATAGGGAGGGTTTCCACCCAAATATTCGAACCAATGCCAAAGTTGTTTCGTTTTTATACCTTTAGCCTTGTAAATCTACTGTTTTACTACTAACTACATGATTTGGGTTGGTTGAAGTGTTTCAGAGTTCTGTCTACGTGATTTTCTTGCCGTTTTTATCTTTACATCAATATTATAGGCAAAATTTTGAAACATTCTGACAAACCACTGCTGAAAAACCATTGCTTTATACCATTGTTTTCGAAAGAGTTAAATATACGAAACATCTAGTTTCCGTTACCAAATTTTGGTCTAACATTGTAGTGATAGTAATTTTTTTGTTTTATAGGATATGAATCCCGGTTCTGTTGGCCAGAACTTATCAGTTCCTATGACTCCACTAAATTTTGAACAGGTCTGTTTTAACAGAATCACTTGGAATGTTGTAAGATTTTTACGTGACTCTCGGCTTTAGTACAGTTCTTGAGTTCTAGCAAAGTTACCGAGACGCAAGCCACATGCCATCTTCGAATTTACCAGCTGCCATGATGCCTGCCACTCCAGCTAGTGCCATCGACATTCCTATGCCAACACTGCAGAATATTGTGTCCACAGTGAACCTTGGTGAGCGCGTCCTCCGTATTTCCCTTTTAGTTGTTGAAATATCGAAGTATTTAAATGTGTGTTCAGGTGTTACCCTTGATCTAAAAAAGATTGCCCTTCATGCTCGTAATGCGGAATACAATCCTAAACGTTTTGCCGCTGTCATTATGCGAATACGTGAGCCACGAACAACAGCGCTGATATTCTCGAGTGGGAAAATGGTCTGTACTGGTGCTAAGTCAGAAGAGGCTAGCAGGTTTGGATTTCTTCAATTTCTTATTTTTATTTCATACTACCAGTCTTGACGTCTACTGTACGGATCCCTTCACTTCCTGCATTCGATTCATTTTATCGCGTCCACCATCCACGAAGGTCTTCCAACTTTTACGTGTAGCTTTTGCTGCTCGAGGACTTTCATTTCATCTTGATTGTTGTAGAATGCTGGTCGAGTCGATTTCTTCCTGGAGTCCTGAGATAGCGGGGCTAATACGTTCCTGTTGGATTGCAGAGAGCGGGTTTTTCCCGGACCAGTCCGGTACCAATTTCCCGACTCCCGAGGAATGACGAACTTGGTGAAACTAAGGCGGATCGAACCACCACCGTGCTCACGATGATCGGCATCATTGCCACTGCGCTATCGGTCACGTTAAAGTTGTTATGCTCCTTTATTAACGGACTACTCAGTAGTTTTTAAGTGTCAGTTAACTCCAATCATGTTTCCATCTTGTATATCCTTCGACTTTTTCTCTAGTATCATTTATTTTCATTTTTCAGGTTAGCAGCCCGTAAATATGCTCGAATTGTGCAGAAATTAGGATTTGATGCAAAGTTTACGGAGTTTAAGGTATTGTAAAGCATAATATTGTGGTTAAGTAGTTCTGTTTTATCGTTGTTGATTTAGGTACAGAATATGGTAGGTTCGTGTGATGTTCGTTTCCCAATCCAACTGGAGGGATTGTGCGTTACGCATACTCAGTTTAGTACCTACGAGCCGGAGCTTTTTCCCGGCTTGATATATCGTATGGTGAAGCCTCGTGTTGTGCTATTGATTTTCGTCTCTGGCAAGGTGATATTCCTTGTTTTTAAGGAATCAAAATTTGGAGCGAATATAATACGGTTTTCAATGGATTTTTGGAATTCTGAGACAGTTGTGCTGGGGTGGGTGTTCACACGTTTAAACCACAGGCTGCTTCCAGACTTCTGTGCGAAGATAGCGCTCTTCCCAGATGGGGTTGATAATTTCCGATTCTGGAGCATTTAGTGACGTGGGGTCTGTGTCGAAGCAGGGTCTAGCGCGTATTATTGAACAATGTATCTGCCACTGTGGTTCTCATTCCATGGTTCTCACGTGGTGGTAAAATTCATTCAGGCGCACTGCCTATGCCAAATGAATAAGCTACATATTTGATTTCTTGAAAGGTCGTTACAGCTATCCTAAGGTGAAGTTAAATCTTAGTTTGCATCCAATAACTGCTAGGTGTAACTTTCATGTATTAGCGGTAGGAGTTGATAACAGTCCTCATTCAGGTTGTAATTACCGGTGCCAAATTCAAGAAGGACATTGACGATGCTTTCAGCCAAATTTATCCAATATTAAAAGGTTTCAAGAAATGAACGTATAATCGCCTATGAGGTTGTTCGATACCAAGTATGTGCTTGCACCCGCGGAATGTTTAAGCAAAGTTGTTGATAGGGTGGAAATTATTCTCTGTTCTTCTCTATGTTTTTAGAATTAAGCGTGGCTTATCTGTTTGGAAGTAAGCGAGCAGATATATATGTGCACATACATATATGTGTATATACAATTGCATGTATATGTATATACATGTATGTGTGTACATGTCTGTTTGTACACACGTATATCCATCTTTTCAGTGTAGTACTTTCGTTATGTTCTCTAGTGTTTCTCCCCATCTAGGTGTTTAGGTGATTTTTTATAATTTAGTGTAAATATAGCTGTCGTATTTACGCTCTTGTTATTCTCATATAGGAGCAGTGAATATATTGACATTGGGGTTTCTGTCTGCACTCTGTGCATGTCAGTTCTTTCCTCCTGAAGTCGTATTGTGAATGCGCGCTGCTCTAATACTTATTGGTGAAATGCGAATGTTGATGCTTCAGATCTTTATTTTTTTCGTTTGTATTCTTATTGTTTATTGAAAATATTATCGTTGTTTCAATTATCTTTATTGTTGGAATAAAGGACTGATCGATACTAGCCTTTGTATCTTGCCAAGTTGAGGATTCCCACTGGAGTACTCTTGACCAACCGTCGCCTTCGAGACGCGGTGGTGTTCATTAGAAAGTTTCTCTAGTTTTCACCTTTCTTCCCAAAATACGTTTTTACGGCCAATTTTCTCGAACTGGGTATTGAACAGATTTTGTAAGCCGTATGGGATAATGGATAGAAATCTGGGCATTGGTCAATCAGTTAGGTATGTGCCATGCTTTCGACTTCATTAAGCATCACTGGAGCTGATTGAATGCATATCTAGCTTTTGCAATGACTCCCGGTGGTATACCGATGTGTCCAGTGCTGTTCTCCTTCCAGATAAGTCTGGTATTAATTCTTCGAGCCCGGAGAGATGAAAGACTTGGTGAGCCTTGGGCGCGGGGATCGATTCCATGTGCAGTACAGGGCGCCTCGGACTACTGCGTAACACGTGCCTTTGTAAGCCATGCATAGATTTGTCATATATCCATTAACGTTGTTTGTTCTCGCAACTTTAAAAGTTTGAGTTTGGAACGACTATAATTACGTCGGAAGGTGTGGGTTGTCAAAATTTGCTTCCATTAAGAGAACTGACATTTTTGTTCCAGATTGAACAAATCAAGTCTCCGATGGTAGCTGACAGTTGGAGCTGTCTTCTAGACGCCTCGGACCTCTCATCCTTACGTGATTTGATTGCCGGACTACCGCAGTCGACCGTACTTTCGATTGCTGAAGAAGCATTTTTGGAAGTAATTGGAGCAAATTTTGTTGGTTGTAATGGTAAGCTTGATTTCATTGGTCGCTAAAGTAATATTTTCTGTTAGTTTTCAACCATACATACTATTTGAACTGGAGCTTATGTTATCTGGAGTCTATTTAGGTTACCTTTTTGACGTTTTTCAGCCTTTTCTCCTCTCCCTTCTTTCTTATCACACGATCTCGCTGTATCGGAGTTGAAGTTCGATCTCATTGAACCGTTTCCTTGTGCGAGGTGTGTTTGGACCAATTAAATTTCATTCATGTATTCATCCATGGATTGAATGAATGTATTTCCTACTATTGATGAACTTCCTTTATTATTAGGAAACTGATACCTGAAAAGTGGTGGTCTTTGTTCTCAACTGGTGTGCTGAAATGTTCCTCTTCTCAGGAACGTTATAGCGTTATTCTTTCCACTTTTTAGGTTACTGCCACACCTTTTGCTTGCAAAAGTCGCTATTCTGGACAAAACGGGTCTCAAAGAGGCTTCTCCCGAAGCTAAACTGCTTGGTTTCAGGTTCGTTGTAATTGAAACTAGTTGACTTTTTTTTTCTTAAAGTATTTCTATAGGGTACTACTCCTATGGCAAAAGATCCTCTGCGAGCCATCGACAGCTCTGAAAGAGAAGATAGATGAATACGTAGAGTCCATCGGTTTTTTTTATTTTTTACTCTTTGTCTCTTTCTGGAAACTACACTTTAGGCTCAGTCGGTGGAAATCGAAAGACTGGACGTTGAACAAAAGCTTCAATATCTCATTGAAAGAGCGAATTCTTATCTGATCTATTATGACTACGAAAAATGTGCTGAGTTCATAAAGTGAGTTTGTTACGAACTTCTATCCCTCAGTTGTGAACAGTTCATAGGTATAAGTCTTTCATGGACGCATACCGTCATGAGTACCCTTTCCAGAAACAGCTTCACCCCTTTTTGTACTTTTTGCTCTATGATCTGCTTGTTCAGTCTCTCCTTAGTTTTTCTTTTTTTTTCAACTGTTTTACTTTTCTGTTTATTTTACGTACTTTTCCGCGCTTTCTGAGTATTTTCGCCTTATATGTATGCTTAGAGCAAGAAAAAAAAATGGAAAATCTGTTCGCTTTCCAATCACAGTGTTTTGGAATGGTTTCCTGATATTTGCAGAGCACATTTCGGGATGTCGGAAGTTCTTTATATCCTCCGATTCCATTCAATAGTAATGCTCTGTTTAAAGGACTAGGAAGGAAAGATTATTTAGTTATTGGTGGGAATTTTAGTTTCATCTTCTGAAAACCGTCCCAGTAGAAGACAAGTTGAACTTGATTTTCGGCGGACTTCTCATTAAAAGTGAACGAGAGAACACGTATGAGACTGGCGACGATGAGGAATCTCTTGTCTGAAAGTACTAAATCGAAGGACGAGAATAATGGCAACGTGTCTCGATGACAGGCAGTCTAGAGTGAATCAGCTACCTCTTTTCTGATGCATGGAATTGATACTTTACGATTTATCTGTCACTGATGTTTGGCAGTTGGATGCGAAGGAGAACAGATTCGAAGAAGAGGAACAGCCATGAGAATAAACAACTATTGGGGAGATTAAAGGATCTGTCGTATTTTTGCAAACAGGAATTTACGCTTTAGAAATTATTAGAGTTACACTGCAACCTAAGGAAATGAACCTATAGCACTCGAATCATGTAAAGAGAAAGCTTCGAAAATTTTTTGGCTCTACTCTATTCCGCGGAACACCAACTGTATTGTAGAAGCCTACTCTTACAACGTCATATAAAAAATCGTGTGTGCCGATGAGAACTTGGTGCCGTTTAGAAAGGGTCGAAATCCTCTGCACATGCAAGAGAAGAAACACAAACCTGGAATTTGGTTCTTTACTAAGGGCGGCAAACAAGCAGAATTAATCTACTGAATACTCCTGTAGAGACTTTCTTGATTATTATCGCTGTCGGGTAGGCAGGTATGAAGCTCGTTTACGATATATTTGTTGAAAGAAGGCTTTTGCACAACGATAATTAGTACAGGAGTGTCTTGTTTGTTTGTTGAGAACATGCTTTAATGAAAGACATTTGGTCGACGTATACACGTGGAATAGATGGTAACGTCATTAGGTTCGTCTTTCATAAGTTGAACAAAAAGGGTCAAGTAGAAGGATGAAAAATAACTCGCTATGAAGTCCATAATGTTCACACGCCACCGTTGCAGTGCAAGTTTCCGAAACCAGCAAGCAGAGCAAACTATTTTCGAACACAAACGTGTAAGTGACGTCTAATTCTCCACATTTGGGGAGAACTAGCAAATGTGTACAAACAGTTCTCCTTTTGTGTGATTTTCTCTCCCGTTGACCATGCAGACATGTTTGACGAACAAATAAAATATCTGGGAGGAATGTGAAGAAAATCGCGATGAAGAGTTCCATATTCAAATGTAATGTAACTACAATGTTAACTTTTTATTTACTGCCTATTATGATTTTTCATGGCAGGGTATTACATGTGAAACAACCACAATGATGCTGAGATATTTGCAAAACTCCGGATCACAGGTGTCTGCGGTGGGGAACGAACGCGCTATTACCCTTTCCGTGGGTTAACGCGTTCACCACCACACCAAGCGGGTCCTTCGCTTCGCTTGCCTCTCAGCTAGTTCTATTGGTTAGCGCCATCAGCAATCACCCGTCAGCGGGATTGATCTAAGAAACTCAAATCGGCAACGATCTTATTTAAGGTGATGGTGTAGTCGAAATCAGAATGTTAGCTTTTTATTTACTGCCTGTCCCGTAAGGCTGAGGCTTTTTGTGAGACTGTTATAAAAATTTAGGAAAGATATCACCGCTGCAGATCTACTGCACTGCATATTCACCAACTGAGCAATAGATGGAACTTGTCTAAGAGACATTACTTTGATTGTAAATGTCCGCGGAAGGTGCGAATTGTACATAGAGGGCACTGTGCATAAAGAATTGTAGTTCCGAAAACCGACTTTATAAACTTTATAAACCTGGGCATTGACCAATAATTCACTATTTTCTTGATAAGCACACACATGGTTCTGGCGGATTTCGCTTTCCTCGAAGTCGGCAAACACAAGTTAACTGCAACCTAGTCAGCCAAATATACCTCCTAACCCGAACAGAAAAATCACGAAACCAAGACTTTGATCGCATTGCAAACAAAACAGCTTCGTGATATACTCATCGCTCTCAGTGAGTTGTTCACTCAGTGTTCGACGTAAAGAAAACTGCACAGAGTTCACACGGATAAGTGATCTGCCTCTCTAGTGCTTTTCAGCTGTGGGTATGGTGGTATTTGGCTGACTAGATTGCGCTCAACTCGACCTTTGCGGTTTCTGAATAGGTCGAAATCGGCGGAAACGTCAGCTATTGCAAATAACTAATATAATAACTACCTCTTGTTTGTTTATCAAAGAGGTAGAAAATTCAAAAATTTTAAATTATAAAGAGCGGAGAATATCTGTAGAGCGTGTATGTCGAACGTAACCTGCAATGTTTCTCAAGGAATGCGAAAACATCTGAGAACTGCACTCCCTAAGCACTTCTGTGATCAGATTCATTGGTACCTCCCTCGTCAGCACTAAAGTTATCAAGCAAAAAGTGATATGAGAAACTACGCAAAAAATAAAATCGACGAGGATATGAATTGAAATGAATGCATGGTATTAGGTCATTTCCTTCATTGACTTCTACTCCTTTGTATGAGTTCCACTCAATACATATTAGCTGCTAATCAGTCGTTGAGGTGGTATGACTATAAACGAGGTTCAAAATATGCATGTTGTCGCGGAAACACAAAACTAGTCGTTTTGTTCTTATTATTCAGTTATGCTCTGGAGTGTTCAAGTTTGAATGTGGAGTTCGCAGGAAAACTGGGTAAACGAACGCGTTTTCAAGAGCGCGACATTGCCCAGCTTGTTCTTAATCTCAATATGGTAGGTTCTCCACACTTTTCCGGGAATAGTAGCGATTGATTGCAGTTGTTTGTAGAGTTCGGCAGGATCATCGATAACTAGTGAAGATTTAGATGTTCCTACAAGCTGTGCCTTAAATAACGACACACTCTTAGAGCAGGTATGATTGTGTTTCACTAAAATTTAATGAACTGTTGGTATTTCTCGTAGTGAATATGAACTTTCAGGTATCATTAGTTGAGAAGGACCGTAAAGATGTTGCATTGTCGTCAATACACCTTGCAATTTTATTTGCTGTTTTCCGACTAGAAAGAAAAAGTGAGCACTGCGACGAATTATTCATGGAGAAAGCGGATGCATATTTAGAAGCGGTAAGGGTGGAAACCCATATAAAATAGTATCCTGCATTTCAATATTTAGGTAGCGGAAAGCTGGGTTTCCCACGACTTTCTATTCTATTATATATTTTGACTTTCTATTAACCTAGACATTGATCGAAAAAATTTTTATATTACTGTTTAGCAAACACGAAGTGTTATTTTGCTTCTTTATTTACGCACAATCTGACGTTTCGGAGGATTTCGCCTTACTCAGAACCGTTTTCTACCTTTCTTTCTCTTTTTCATAGAAAGCGACTCTGAGGAAGGCGAAATCCGCCAAAACACCTTGTGCATAAATAAGGAAATAAAACAACACCTCGTGTTTGCTAAGCAATAACATAAAGAAGAAAAGCATTACAATTTTCTAATTTGGGGTGAGTTGGACTCATGCTAGATCGTTTTAGTGTGTCTTTATTCAATTCAACATTTGGAGGTAGTTTTCCAATAACTGTCGATTTTTTCTTAACTGGAGAAGATGATAAGTTTAGAGCTCGACTGACCTGTAGAAGAGCTTTGTTTTGTCGCCTTAAAGGTTTTCTTTTAGTTTTTTCAAATTATCGTACCACTTCCGAAGTTACTTAGAATTGAACTTTACAAGAGAACAGAGGAAGAGATTCGAATTTTTAATATCTCCATCGCAAGCGTTGCAGTTTTTAACGTCAACGATACATTGACTAACACCATGGTATCTTGAATAAGCCCGCTCGTTCAATCAGCTAAGCGTTCGAAATGCAAGCGTTGATGACGAAAAGCAGAGAAACTATGTTTCATGTGCTATGGAATATCAAAGTTTCATCTTTGTTTAGTAATGGAATACGTTTATTGTAGGCAGTGACACATAAATTGTAATCGTTTCTATTTACATTGTTAAAGTCCAATAAGAACTGTAACATATCAATTTGAAGTTATTAGCGGCAACCAATTTCGCATTGACTGATTTGTGCTCAGTCCTTCTTGCAGTTCATATTTTAATCTCGATAGCAAAATTTTGAGGGTATGCTATGAAATCCACTTAATGAGCATCTTCAGCGAAACGATCACCTGTCACCTGTCGTCCCGTTGATCGTCGAGTTACTCGAGCGGGCGCCAGTAAATCTTCCATTTTTCCCTGTCGCGTGCAAGAGTAGCCCAGTGGGTTCTGCTAGCTCTAGGGACTCGTCGAACATTATAACTTTCTTCTAGGCTCTTCGTGAGGAACTTTGCCAATCGGGTCGGTGGTTTTCTTGCAGTATGACATCTCGAGGAATCCACTAACGGCTCTTGTCCATCGGTTGTCATTCATACGCATTACATGTCCGGCCCACCTTATCTTGGACTGTTTGGCGTACACAACGGCATCTTTGATTTTAGATCGCTGACGCAAATCGGAGCTTCGGATCCCATTTCTTACTTGTGTGGAACAGGATACTCCTAGCATCGTCCTTTCGACTGCGCGTTCGATAACGCTAAGTGACCTTTCATCCGACCAGGTTTCTGACGCATACGTTAGGGCAGGAAGTACTGTTGAGTCGAAAAGGTGGGCACGGAGTCGGTTATTCTTTGTTCTCTTCACTACATCTTCTATGCTCTTGAAAGCTCCCCAAGTCGCTCGTTTTCTTCTGCTCAGCTCTGGAGCTAGGTCGTTCATCATATTGATTTCCCGACCTAGATAGATATAACTGGAGCATTCGGAGGTATTCGCTCCGTAGAGCGTGAATGGGGCATGTGAAGCTAATCCGTTCTTCATGAACATCGTTTCTGTTTAATCGGAGACCAATCTTTTCACAGGCTCTATAAAAGTCGGTAAGCATTCATTCCTATAGGGTAATGTTTGATGTTATAAGAACGATGTCATCGGCAAAGGCAGATGTAGTTTCCGACCATCGATTTCCACTCCCATATTATCCCATTCCAATGTTCGCATGACGTTCTGGAGGGTGGCGGTAAATAATTTTGGGGAAATGGTATCGCCCTGCCTAACTCCTCTTTTGACGCTAATGTTAATATCGTTGTAGAATGGTGATACCTTGGTTGTGAAATTTTCGTACAGCTCACGAAGAATCTTTGTGTACTAAGTAGGGACTACTTGACCATTAAGGGTTTCCAAGACTGCTTCTATCTCAGTTGAATCAAAGGCCGCCTTTAAATCGATGAAAGTGAGACAGAGCGGTCTTTTGTACTCTCGCGATACCTCAATGAGCCTTTTTACCATGTGGATGTGGTTCATTGTACCAAATCTTTTTCGAAACTTTGCTTGCTCACATGGCTGTACTTCGTCCAGTGTTCTGTAAATCCTGTTTAGGATGACTCGAGTGAAAAGTTTGTAGACGACAGACGGTAAGCAGATTGGCGATAGTTGCCGATATCGTGTAGGTCACCCTTCTTGAACAATAGCACGGTCTTCTTGGTCTTCCATTAAATAGGGACCATGCATTCAGACAGGTAACATGTTAAGAGCCTAGCTATTCTGTTTACGAGGACTAGCGAGAGGTTCTTCAGGTATTCTGGTCTTATCCTGTCCGGACCTGGTGCTCTTTGATTTTTCACCGATGAAATGGCATATCGGATTTCGGAAGGGAGAGCCGGTGGTACAACATATCCATCCACTTTTATTTCACACGACGGAAGGTGGAGGTGGCTATCGAAGAGATCCGAGTAGTATTCGTGAATGAATTTCTCCATTGCCTTTCTGGACGCTGTAACTGTTCCGTCTGGGCGTCGGAGTACAATCATCTTGGTCTTGTAATTGGTGAAGCTTCGGTGGGCTTTGTGAATGCTTTTCCTAGCCTCTTCAGCTTCGACCATTACTGATGCTCTTCTCTCTTCAAGATCTTCTTTTATCGAATCTTTCTCATCTTCTTTAGTCAGACGATAATTGCGGCTTATTTTTCAAGAACTTTTTTTTCTTTTTTTTTTCAAGAACATTTTTCAAGAACTTTTCAAGAACAATTTTTGCAACGAGGGCGCCTGGAACGCAGTGATTAGCTGTGCCGTGTGGTGCCGTACTGTGCCTGAAGGTTCGACTCCGTCGTCAGTCAACCGTGCCTATTCGTACTTCGTGGTCGGGGATCGATAGCAGACTTGTTTGAGAAACGCACCTTTCCATCCACAACGTCTACCGGCGACTACCTGTCGTGGAGGCACATGAAAGCTATCAGGGCTATTTATGGATTCCGAAGGGAATCAACGAATAACATTTCATGACTTTCATGAAGGTAAAATCCTTAGGTCGCAACCGAACCCACACATATATTCGAAGGCCCCTTAATAACTCGAAAAACCGACTTTCTGTAAACTCCGGCATAGATGGTTGATATATTTATTTATGTGATCCTATAAACTGATCTTCTTAAGCTGAGGCGAGGTTGGTACAGATCTTCGTTGTCGTTGTCAATGTTTTTGATGTTGCTGGACGATGGCTGATGTTTCGGCGACATCGCCTTCCTCAGAGCCTGGACATATTTTATGTTAGAATACTTTTTATTATTCGGCGGAAAAGAAGGTTAAAGCATAAATGAAGATCGAACTTTCAAATAGACGCCATATTGAACAGGAAGGCCACTCACCGTGATGTTACGTGCGGGACTGGCCCACACGTAGTTCACGTGGGGTCGCGAGCAAGACACGCCCGGGGATCAAAATATCATTTTGAAATAGGACGCCGGGTCACGCGTGATAGTGAGGCATTCGTCCTTCCGGTTCATCTTTGGATTTTTGAAATTTATCCAAAACGCCTCAAGAGTTTTGCGCGTTGATGCTTTCGATCCCTGCGCTAGGATCCGCACATTCACTTCAAAATTATCGCCGTTGTGCTTTTGTGCCTTATGCGTACCTAGAGGGGTGTTTAAACGGATTTTAGCTTTCCCATCTAGATGTTCTTTTATGCGGACACAAAGTGGTCTACCCGTTTTCTCCGATATATCCCTCGCCGCATGCATTACATGAGATCAAGTATATTATACCTAAACTCATGCAATCCCCGTCTCTCCCGTTTCCTCGCCGCATGCATTACATGAGATCAAGTATATTATACCTGAACTTATACATTCCCCGTCTCTCCCGTTAGGACAGATCATACAGTTTTCTGAGCTGCACAAACGATCATAGAGACGGTTTCGAACTAACGGGCGGCGTAGGGTGTTGGGTGGGTTGTCAATAATCGTTACATAATTTTCAAGACCACTTTTTTCTTAAGCACTTTTTAATGGCGTGACTTACTTCGTTTGATATGAAGGGCAGCTTAAAGGAGATCCTACTTTCGCCTGAAATATTACTTTGGGAAACTACCCAACGTTTTCCTCTAAACCGAGTGGCTTCTACTTCGTAGCCATTGGAAATGGCTATTTCTCGTTCCAGGTTTTGCGATTCCTTCCTTTCTTCTTCTTCTCCTGTACACACATTTTTAGCCGTATGATACATATTTTTGATAAGTGCTTTTTTTATGTGTGAAGGATGAGAGGAGAGGCAGTGAACTAGAATGTTTTTACTACTTGGCTTGCGATACCATTTTGTTACATAGCCACTTACCGAGAGCTTTATTTCGATGTTTAAGAATGGAAACCAGTTCTCGGTAGGTTTTTCTCGTGTAAATTTTATATACTCTGACTGTCGGTTTAATAATTCAAAGCACTCATCCATCTGTTCTTGTGTGGAACAGATGATAAAGCAGTCGTCTATGTATCGACAGTAGAGTAAGGGTCGGTGAACGAGAACTGGAGCTTCCACCTTCGACATGAAAGCGGTGGCAAGGCTTGGTGCTAAACGCTGCCCCGTCGCCAACTCTCTAATTTGTGCAAAATATTTTCCAGACCACCTAAAGATTAAACAACTAAGACACTGTTTTAAGAGGGTCATTAGTTGCGCANCTATCACGCGTGACCTGGCGCCCTATTTCAAAATGATATTTTGACCCCGGAGTGTGTCTTGCTCGCGACCCCACGTGAACTACGTGTGGGCCAGTCCCGCACGTAACATCACGGTGAGTGGCCNTACTTTGGGAAACTACCCAACGTTTTCCTCTAAACCGAGTGGCTTCTACTTCGTAGCCATTGGAAATGGCTATTTCTCGTTCCAGGTTTTGCGATTCCTTCCTTTCTTCTTCTTCTCCTGTACACACATTTTTAGCCGTATGATACATATTTTTGATAAGTGCTTTTTTTATGTGTGAAGGATGAGAGGAGAGGCAGTGAACTAGAATGTTTTTACTACTTGGCTTGCGATACCATTTTGTTACATAGCCACTTACCGAGAGCTTTATTTCGATGTTTAAGAATGGAAACCAGTTCTCGGTAGGTTTTTCTCGTGTAAATTTTATATACTCTGACTGTCGGTTTAATAATTCAAAGCACTCATCCATCTGTTCTTGTGTGGAACAGATGATAAAGCAGTCGTCTATGTATCGACAGTAGAGTAAGGGTCGGTGAACGAGAACTGGAGCTTCCACCTTCGACATGAAAGCGGTGGCAAGGCTTGGTGCTAAACGCTGCCCCGTCGCCAACTCTCTAATTTGTGCAAAATATTTTCCAGACCACCTAAAGATTAAACAACTAAGACACTGTTTTAAGAGGGTCATTAGTTGCGCAACGGCGACGATTTTGAAGTGAATGTACGGATCCTGGCGCAGGAATCAAGAACATCAACGCGCAAAACTCTTAAGGTGTTTTGGATAAATTTTAATAATCCAAAGATGAACCGGAAGGACGAATGCCTCACTATCACGCGTGACCTGGCGCCCTATTTCAAAATGATATTTTGACCCCGGAGTGTGTCTTGCTCGCGACCCCACGTGAACTACGTGTGGGCCAGTCCCGCACGTAACATCACGGTGAGTGGCCTTTCTGTTCAATATGGCGTCTATTTGAAAGTTTGTTCTCCATTAACAGTTTAACCTTTTTTTCCACCGAATAATAAAAATATTCTAATGTTAAATACATCCAGGCTCTGAGGAAGGCGATGTCGCCGAAACATCAGCCATCGTCCAGCAACATCAAAAACATTGACAACGACAACGAAGATCTGTACCAACCTCGCCTCAGCTTAAGAGGATCAGTTTATAAGATCACATAAATAAATATATCCGAAGGTCTTAATGGTAGGCGGATGCAAGGAAGTAAGCCTAATAGAAGTGCTACGGATCCACAAGATATGTAATGAGGATTATTTAAATAAATAAGATTTTTCCTTCAACTGATGGCGGGGTACAATGTGAAATAGAACCATGAGGATGCTAAAATGTGACCTTAACTCGAACTTCTGGTGCGCTTCAGCCGTCGATTACCTTTTCTGAGAGCTCAAGTATTATTTACTCTACCAACCGAGGCTCCTGATTTACCTTTCTCTCAGCTAGTTTTTTTACCCTAGCGTGCTATTAGCAATCACCCGTCAGCGAGAATGATCTTTGTAACAGTTGCAAATTGGCATTGAATTCTGTCATTCCTGTTGATGGGTGATTGCCGATAACACCAATAGAGTACGAAAATGGCTGAGAAAAAACGAATGCAAGGGCTTAAGTTGGTGTGGCAGATAGCATATGGTCTCCTGCTAAAGGTAATTTCGGATTCGAAGCTCATCTGAGTTTCAGAGTTTTGCTCATATTTCATCATTCTTGTGGTTGTGTTTTAAAATGATTCCGTGGTACGAAAGCTATCAAAAATCTAAGCCTGCTCACATGATTAACGACTTTTGTTCCTCAACGTATCGTTTCCTATCTAGAACTATGATTGATCACTGGATTTACAGATCATTCAACAGCGTCGATGTTGGTCCGTCCAAGTGGCTGCATTGTTGTCCCGCTGTGAGTTAGAGCGAACGAGAAAGAGACGTGTGGAACGAGCTTGTGCGCAATCAGAACTGATTTGCAATCTTATGGATGGTGTGGATGATAAGGTGAACATATTGACTAGGTTCCTAAGCAGTTTATGAACTTTTTAAACATTTCTATGGCACACCATTCCGTACTTATTCACTGGTATGGAGAAACTACGTGTCTAAAACGGTTGTATTGAGATTTCTAGGAAGAGTGGTTAAAATTGAAGCTGATGAGTGAAAGAATGAGCAGGCAGTAAATTTCCAAAATTCTGATTTATTTCTGCTCTGGATTTCCTCGACTTCCTCGTATCCTTTTATTTCTTTTATTGGCGATTCATTTTTCGGTGTGGCTTTTCGTTTCGAAGTTTCAGCTGTAGCATATGTATTAATCTGACATAAGTGTCGCCTTCGAGCGTTGTCTTAAATTGTCTCAATCTTTCAACCTCTGATGATGACTAATTGGTGATCGGTTACAGTGACGATGATTAATTTCACGCTAATATGGATACTGAAGTTGATATTATCAAGTAGATTCACCAATGGCAAAGCAATGGAGAAGTTGTTTCATATGCAAAAGGCAGTAAAATCGACTTTCCTAGCGTGTACCTCTTCAATTAGTGCTGCATTACATGTTGCTTTCGAGGGATCTAAACGATATCGAGGCCCCTATAATTTGGAAATTGTTTCAGACATCGATTGGGATTAAATGGAAACGTTGTGGCCTAGTACTTGCTAGTGGATTGGATCCTTTTTGGATTGCTCGTTGTGTTCACGCAGAAACGCTTCAATCACTGGGTTGCACTTCGGTAAGAAATAGACTTTACTTTGATTGATCACAATTCCGCCGTAGTATCGTAGAATTTTACTCATCTATCAGCATTTTATTCTGTTACTATGTTATCAAGTGCAAGTTTTTTTCCTCTTAATTTCAAATCGTAGCTTCGAGTCGGCTTAGCCGGGCGAGGTGTGGGTAGCTTAGAGGCCCGTTTCTGGGATGATAGGATATTAGGCACGTAAGCGCCTAGACAAGATCACTAATGGCTGACTTTTTATCCTACACGCCATGCCTTTATTTATTCTGTTATTTGTTTCTTCGACTATGCTTTTCTTCCGTTTTTTCTTAGCGATCTCTTTCTTGCCACAATCGCCGTTTTTTTTCTCACTTTGCTCTGGGTCTTAAAAGCGTACATATGTATCTTACCACATTTTTTTAAATGTATGATGTTTAGGAAGCACTGCTATTGTATGAGAAGTTGGAGATGTGGGACTGCGTTGTGAATTGCTTTAAGAAGCTTGGGCAGTTAGAAAAGGTTATTAAGCTTTTGACTGTCACCCGTTATCTCGGTACATCTTCACTATTTGTTTCCTGTTACTTGATATTTTCTTTAGGCAGAAGCTCTAATTCATCGGTTGGTTTCCGACAGACCAAATGACTCGATGCTCGTTTGTTTATTAGGGGACATCACTATGGAAGTTACCTACTACGAGGAAGCTATTCGAGTAAACAACACTTTACTGAATGTGTCCAGTAAGCTGGATTAGGAATCTAGGAATTCAGATGTCTAACGATCGAAACGCTCGCGCTCGGAAGTCGCTAGGGAATCTGCTGTTGCTCCGCAGCCATTTTGAAAGTGCCTATGGGCATTTGAGGAGAAGTCTCGAACTTCAACCTATACAGGTTGGTCTGAATAAACTGCAGTTGAATCTTTCGACTAGTTAATATTTGCTTCCTTCAAGAACGATGTTACTTTTTTTCTGGATTACAATGTGTTTGCCGTTCACTAGTTGAACATACCGCCACTACTGAAAGGGAAATTTGGAATATTATTTGTCTGCTTCCTGTGGGAGAGAGGTGTTCCTGTGTCTAACTGCGATGTATAGCGAAGAGTTCATTAGTCCAGCGAAGTGTGCCAGGTTGTGAAAGGTTTCCTTACTTTTATACGAAGAGAAAAGAAGGTGAATCAATGCCAGTGGATCACATCCATCTTGGTGGCAACCTGATCTCAAACCGGTAGGTGTTCGTTCGATTCACAAAAACTGGCTATTTGCTAGCGACTTGAATACGCGCTTATAACGGCACCTCAAATTTTTAGGGGAAACACCATACCAATCTTTTAAAAACGCGACTTTAAAACTTTCCTTGTGCTCGTAGATCAGCTGAAACTTCAATTACTCTCTGCAAGAAATCGCTAGCAAGAAGACACTATGAAAATCCGTGATGGAACGTTGAAGAAATTGAAATGGGTTTTTCTTCTTTAAGAGATACCACTTCATAATTATTCATAATGTAATGAAGTAAAATGAACGCAAATTTACAACTAAAATTGGCTTATTACAAAGCATTGAATGAATTTGCTGAGAGCTAACGATGTACCAAGTTAGTTGTTTTATCCTTCCCAACAAATTTGATACGGGTGGGTCACACTATTTATGTTATAGCTGAACTCACAATATAAGGATTAGGCAGCTGTAGAAAAGTGCTGCGCGTGGTAGAAAGGTCTATGCGTCAGTTCTACAAATTCTCGCATAGTGATTTTCGGACAAATTTTTTCCGATATAAAATGTATTACGTCATTTTAGTTGGGTGTGTGGTTCAACGCTGGGTACTGTGCATGGAAAATGGAACGTTATTCCGATGCGGTAACATGCTTCCACCGATGTGTAAGTTGATGAGAAAGATCATTGCTGAGAGGCATAGAACCTATGTGCTTAAATCATTTTTATATGTTGTGTTGTCCGATGAATTCATGCTGATTTGCGTGATTTCCAACCTTACTTACTGCGGTTGCGCACTACGTTTAGTGCACTGTCGAGCTTCTGTGTCACTTGGTGGTTATCTTTTTGAAGAAGAGGCTTGAAGCCATTTCGATCATAGTCCACTTGGTTTACGAACCGTGGGGCATCATTCATACGACAGTTGCCTACATGAAAGCACTCAAATTATTTTGAGCTTGATTCCCGACTATTTTTACCAGCAGTACTAATTTTTTTTTTGAGCAACTTCCAAAGCAACAGAGCTGCTATTAAACATGTCGGAAGACATATCGGAGTCTTGTTTGACCTAAAGCCGTATTAAACTAAATTGCTTTTCGATGGACAAGAATAAAAAGCTCACTAATTGACAAATGAACGCAAATCCTGTGTGTAAAGCTTATAGATAACGATAGGTAGGTGGTTTCATGAGTTTCCCACGTGTGGGTCCTCTTCGGCCCTCTGGACGTGCAGAGTAGGTACGTCTCCAGTGGCGGAGAGGAGGTTGATTGTGGATCTAATTGTTTTGGTACGCGAATCAGTTGAGAGGGCAGTTTTCTTATCTTTTTTGAGGTTGATTGTTTTAAACCTTTCGAATATGCATAATCATTCATGCATGTTTCACATTAGATGCTCGTTTGTCTGTTTGCTGTTCGCTTGCTTGAACAGTATAGCGCAAATTGAACACCGATCGTGTATTAACTTGAAGAAAAGTGATTATTTCTTTATGTTTACCTTTGTTTCCTTACTAATTATTTTTTCATTTATTTGATTCATTCACTTCTGGTCTTACTTTATTTTTACTTTCACCTTTTGTTTTGTTTTGCTTTACCTTATTTTCTTTGTCTTCTTATTTTCCTATTCCTGTCTTGTTACTTTATTATTTCTGGTCAAAATTCTCAGCATTATGTTTAGATATATTTCGAAGAACAAGCTGTGTAAAAAGTTCGTAGTCATGTTCATCGCCCTTACGACAAAGCTGCATGAACATTGTGAACAGCTCGTTCTGCGGATCATCCAGTTGCAGTTATGCTCGAATCAGATGTCGTTCTCTCAACTGGACGGATTGTATTACTACATAAATTATAGTATTGGTCGTTAAGCGATAGCGTATTCAATCAGATATATCACCCGTGTCACTTGTAGTTCCGTTGATCGTCAAGTGACTCGAGCGGGCGCCAGTAAATCTTCCATTTTTCCCTGTCGCGTGCAAGAGTAGCCCAGTGGGTTCTGCTCGCTCTAGGGACTCGTCGAGCATCATATCTTTCTTCTAGGCTCTTCGTGAGGAACTTTGACCATCGGGTCGGTGGTTTTCTTGCAGTATGACATCCCGAGGAATCCAGTCACTAATAGCTCTTGTCCATCAGTTGTCATTCATACGCATTACGTGTCCGGCCCACCTTATCTTGGATTGTTTGGCGTACAGAACGGCATCTTTGATTTTTGATCGTTGACGCAGATCGGAGCTTTGAATCCCATCCCTTACTTGTGTGGAACGGGATACTCCTAGCATCGTCGTTTCGACTGCGCGTTCGATAACGCTGAGTGACCTTTCATCCTGATCACGCAGCGACCAGGTTTCTAACGCGTACGTTAGGGCAGGAAGTAGCGTTGAGTCGAAAAGGTGAGCACGGAGTCGGATATTCTTTATTCTCTTCACTACATCTCCTATGCTCTTGAAAGCTCCCCAAGCCGCTTGTTTTCTTCTGCTCAGCTCTGGAGCTAGGTCGTTCATCATATTGATTTCCCGAACTAGATAGACATAACTGGAGCATTCGGAGATATTCGTTCAGTTGAGCGTGAATGGGGCATGTGGAACCAATCCGTTCTTAATGAACATCGTTTTTGTGAGATTTAGTCGAAGACCAATCTTTCCACAGGCTTTATCAAAACCGTCAAGCATATGTTCCGCTTGGCAAATGTTTGGTGTTATAAGGGCGATGTCATCAGCAAAGCAAAGATGGCGTAACTGCCGACTCTCGATTTTCACTCTCATATTGTCCCATTCCAATGTTCGCCCGACGTTCTGGAGGGTGGCGGTAAATGGTTTTGGCGAGATGGTATCGCCTTGGCTAACTCTTCTTTTGACTTCAATGTTAATATCGTTGTAGAATGGTGATACCTTGGTTGTGAAATTTTTGTACAGCTCACGAAGAATCTTTATGTACTGAATAGGGACTCCTTGACTATCAAGGGGTTCGAAGACTTCCATAAATAAAGTACAAAATGAAAACTTATGTACCAAGTCTTTTGTCTGCTGATTTGCCTGCTGAGACTATCAAAGTGTTTGGCTGAGTAGATCGCATGTCATTTTGACCTTTCCAGGTTCTGAAGAGGGCGGAACTGCCGAAACGTCAGCAAATCTGTGTTAATAAATGATGTAATAACAACCCATGTTGGTTCATTAAAAGAAAAAAGAATGAAACAAAGTCGGTCTAGAGATTTCCTACAAAAATTCTGACGATGGTCCCCACGATTACGATAAGACAGCAGAAATGTGATTTCAAGGGATGTATTGAGATTAGATCGGTACTTGAATAGATGAAATTTCAAGAAAAATATGGAGCGGATAGCAAAGTGGTTAGATAAACCGCACAATATATGCCTGGTGATTGATTCGACCTGACTCCAAGTCAACTGACTCCTTCATCTCTCAGAGGTCTGCAAATTAGCACTAGAGGTGTCTGACATAAGGGCCATAGAGGAGCTGCCTCTAGTGAAGGCATGGAGTTGCTCTAGCCTAGCGAGTCCAGAATTACAGGCGGAATTGATTCGTCCAGAATTGAGCCTCATATTGCCGAGTAGACGAAATCTTCAAGGGGCAGCCCAACACACACGCAAATCTAAGAACCTTCGGGATAACCAATATAAGACATTAGAAAAAACCGCATAGAAAATGTAGGGATCCGCACAATGCGTGACGTTGGATCAAACAAATGAAATAAAAGAAGAAACAGCTTGGGCGAAAGTTGTTATGATAACACGAAGAGCTCCGACCAACATTCTAGAAAGGCGTCTTGTTGAAAGAGCTCTAAGATCATGAACATAAATATATGAAAGAGGAATAAAGCTTTTAGCATTGATCAATCTCTGAGGGATGCGCCATGCACTCGATTTCATCAGTGATCCTTAGGGTTGATAGAATGCATATCTGGCTCATGCAATGACTCGCGGTTGCCTATCGACGTATCAAGTCAATGCTGCCATCCTTCCAGACAAGTCGTATAAATTTGCTGACCTCGAAGGAAGAAAAGCTTGGTGAGTCCAAGGGTAGGATCGAATCAAAGATCACGTGTACATTGTGAGACACCCATAATCACTTCACCGTACACACCTACAAATCATTATTATGTGCAGTAGCAAAAAAAACAACAAGAAATTGCGAGAAAGGAAATTTTTCATGTGAAAAAGCGTTGATATCATTCATTGCATTGAAAATAGGTTGAGGATCATATAGGAGTAGCAATTCGGGACGACAGAGGAGTTAGAAATCCGCTGATGACTCGGAAAAGGCCACAAATCCATCACGGGGTCGTGGGTTTCGTGACTGAAAAACGTTTCACGAACCTGTTTCATGCCCCCCGCTGTCCACAATACTAAGTAGAACGTGTGATTTTCGGTCGGGGAGTAATTGCCATGGACAGAGGAGAAGAGCGCTTTGACGCTTTGAGGAGTGAAAATGAACAAAAGAAACAAAGTAGGTAATCATAAAAGACTATTTCGGACACCTCAACAGTCTAATTGACCTTGAGTTTTCCGGGCGATTTTTAACCTCTGGTGTGAGTTAATTTAGCAGAGAAATAATGACCGAATTGAACGGTATCTTAACTCTGCTCAGACACAATACCGTTAGCTAATGACGGGTGATTGCTGATGGCACTGATCGATAGAACTAGTTGAGAGACAGTTGAAATGAGGAATCCACGTGGTGTGGTGATGAACGTGTTAGCCCTCGGAAATGGTAATAACGCGTTCGTTCCCCACCGCAGACACTGTTCTCGTCAAGAAAATATCTATGTCGGTGACGCAAAATTTTGTGGTTAAAAATTTTCTTGGCTCTTTTTTTCAAATACAGCTTTTTCAAAGGCATTTCAGAATGTTAATGACTTTTGCTTAAACGTGTCCTAGATGCGGTCGACTTTCAAGAAAATGATTACGGAGAAAACCCTCTCGAGCTCATTTTGTTTATAACTTGTGCAGTTTTAGCTGGCTCATGTGTGATGTCATGTGGAAAGAGCGTGTTCTTACTACGGACCACACCAGCTGTCTCGAAAGAGTCATCGTAATCGTCTTTCGATTCAGTCTTTCACCTTTGAAAAGTGCGTAGAGGCTCATTTCGGGATGTCGTGTAAGATCACTCTTCACCGACATAACAATATACGCAGGAAATGGCTCGTTTTCTTGCGTAAGATTTTAGCGTAAAAGAAGCGCAGAGTTTTCTACAGCCTCACAAGTAATTCCTATAAGGTCGGCGTTAGCTGTCCACTTTAAATGATCGTCGTCAGCTACGGAAGAACGCTTGCGAACCTTCTTCATAGCAAATAATCATACCCTCGTTAGGAAACCTTTTCAGACTACATTTTGAATTCGGAAGAGATGGTCATAACTCCGTTCACTAGTGCAGTTTAGAGTTGTTTTCGGGGTAGTACGCCCATAAATCTGAAATCGCGAGGGAAAATCACACGAAATTCCTACTTTTGAGCATTGTTTCAATCAGCCTAAAGTCTTCGTAAAATTTTTGAAAATGTTTGAAAATGAGTTATGTTGCAGCAAGAGAGCGAAGGTAGGGCAGTGAGAGTGATGCCGAGTATCCGAGTATCACAAACGCGGTGCTGGTTCGATTCCGCACAGGGTCTACTAAGCCTCTCATTCATCTTGGAGCGCAAAATTTGGTGCCAGACGTATCTGGGAAAAATCACTCTCTGCTATTTAAATGCGAACTCCCCAGCCCGTCTATCTCAAGAGTCGACGGGGAATCGACTGGGTCAGCATTCTACAACATTCATAAAGAACAAAAATCCTTAAGTTACGGCCAAACCTACGCCCAGAAATTAGAGGACATCGAACGTGATGGATGAGGGGAAAAAATTGAATGGAAGGAGTGCTCGGATCAACGAAGCAGATGTAAAAGACGCGTCGTATGAAATTTTAAAAATAAAGTAAAAGATAAGCAAGAAGCAAGTCTTAAATGTCATACAGAACACTGTATAAATATTATGGTACTATTATTATTCCTTATGGTTGTATTTCACACAGAACCCTGTCGCTAAAAGTTG